CTTTGTATGATTGACTGCTTCAAGTGTCCGATCACATTGTCCGATGACATCTCTCTAAAAAAAATAGTGAAAATTAAAGCAGTTACCGCACCAGTCACATTTGAAGAAATTGTAATGGTTATGATTACTGAAATAATTTTAATCAATCATTCTATGCAATGATTTCACAGTAATGTTATCATAACCTGACCAGGTCCATCAGATTGGTAACAACACTCATTTTTCTGATCCTTTCCTGAGTTGAAAGAGTCACCCCCTCCTCCACAAGAATCGTCATTCATCTCTCCGCCACCTCCGCCAGAATACCCACCCCCACCCACTCTTCCCTGAAGAAATCCTCTGTCACCGTCTGCGTTCTCATCTGTTACGTGGGATAAAAGCCTCTACTGCCTCCACCGCTACCGCCTAAAAGAATGAAAAGAGGATTCAACTTCAACGGACAAAAAAAATGATAGAAAAAAAGACATGAATAAGTCACTAAATGAATTAAATGACACCAATTATACCAAAAAGGTTTTTTTTTTAAATAGTAATTGGTACTACCTTATTTAAACGAATCGTTTGGTGGGGGGAAGGTCCTCCCTGAATTTTACAATACGGATGTCAATTTCTATAAGTAAGAATCGAATTTTTTGATTCATCTAGATGTGGTGTTCCCATAGCCTACGAGTAAGCTTTCATAAATGCTGCTGCTGAGACAAGTACACCTCTGGCTTTCCAGAAAGTTTCCCGAAAGTCGAGGGGTGAGTGGGGCGAGGTGTCGAGAAGGCTACAGGCTTTCTCTAGCGGACCTCTTTCTCGCCTGTTTCGCTCTCCAGCTCGCGAGGCCCCTGGAAATTCTCTCACCTGCGTAGCTGGAATTGCCACTCTGCCCGCTAAGACCACCGATTCCGCCTGACCCTGCTGATCTGTACCTAGGATTCCTGTTGTGTTCGTACTAGCGTCACACCCTGCATGCCGCTTTGTCAAATAATACAGACCTCCTCCACCTCCAGCTATTATCAAAGGCGTGTTGTATTTTCTGACAACGAATGTACCTCCGCCACCGCCAGAACTCCAGTCATGATCTTCAGAGCCCCCTTCCTGTCCCACAAGGATACGCATGATCTCATCTTTAATCAGACTGAACGTTCCGATCATTCTCGCTCCTCTTCCTCGATCTTGAGCGCTATTGGGGTGTGAATCGTACCCTTCTACTGCTCCTATTGCTTCTATTCTGTAGTCACCAGTGTGAGACACAGTACATTGTTGAATACCACTGGACAATGTAACTTGTCCGTCATGATCCTGACCTGTTTAGTGACTGCCCACCGTTGTTGGACTATATCTTCCAGTGGCACCGAGATTTGAGAACATCGCAGTGAATGCCGAAAAATGAAATGATTATAATAATAATTGTAATAAAAAATAGTAGTAAAAACCATTACATCATTAATGCCGTACTTGATGTGCTTGTTAATTCGTAGTCCGTTAAGAAAACATTCGATGCTCCGTTAAGGTTGTCGACATTGTCATTCATCTCTCACCTAGACAACTAGATGACACAATCACTAGCTTGAAGGATGTTACAAGAGGTAAGCACAATATTGGCTCTGAGTGCTCCTTACATATTTATGATATTAACGTAGAATCGTCTTTTCTGAAGGGTACTGAGTCTGTTATGAATGCCCACTTAACATGCATTTGTCCTAAAACTCGACAATGGAGGCAAAATTATCAGTCATGAATCCTAAAGGTATCATGAACCTTCGTGTTCAACCAAAACCATGAGAATATGATATTCTTTAGACCCTAGCCTTACCCTAAGTTTGTACTCGTCAATGATACAAAATTAAACATGTAGAAAAAAATTATGGATCATTAATCAGTGGGCGAAAAAAAAGAAACGGATGCCATGGATTTCATGTTAAAATGATTACGCTTCTAAACCTCAACTACAGATAATTGTTACAATGTTGCTTACAATTCTCGCAGTTTTCACCTATGGCTTTAGGTGGACACAGGCAAATGTATCTCTTGTCGGTGAATCCATTGAGACATGTTGCACCGTGGGAACAGGGGTTGCTAGAACACAGATTCTTGTGAGAAAACCAAAAAGAGCATTCTCAGTCTCCAATTTGAACACTAAGGGCCACTTATTTACACGAGGTCTAACCGAAACCGCGGTTTTACGCAAGCAGTGGACCTTAAAGACTCGTTATAAGAGGGTTCATTGAATTAAATAAATAAATAAATGTTCTTCCACTAACAGCTTTCGGCCCTCTTGACGTTGTTCACAAAAATAAATGTTCAGATAAAAGATTCAGCTAAATTTAAGATGGCTGAGAGCGCGGTTTCGCCAAAACAACGACTACTAAACTTTGTTAAAATATCCGGCCACATGGCATCGATTCTCCTATAATCTTTTTCTTCGATCTCTATTCATCTATTTGCATGGTAAATATTATTTCACCAGGGTAGCCCGGTAAAGGGATCTTTCCCGTGCTTTAAGATCTTCGGGATGCTGAATATGGTAAGAATCACTCAATTGACAGACCCTGAGTCCATTCTTGTCGGGTGGCCCGACGTTCACGGACACACAATTACTTTCCATCAGGCACTCGTATCTATAGTCACCGCTGAGTTCATTTCCTATTTTGAGTGTTATATTGAAGAAACGTAAAATGGTTTCCGTGTTTACATAGCCTGATGTAAACACTTGGGAGGTTGGGAGAACACGAGATAAGCGTAGGAAACCACGACGTGAAAATGAAAGAGGAACGAAAACCGTGTTTACATACGCTCATGTAAAATGGTTTTATGGCCAATCAGAGCGCGCCTACTATTTGAATTATTTTATAATACCAAGTAAATGACCTTGGAGAGCGAATCCATTGTCTGGTCGTCCAAACCGTAGACTTCGACACCCGAGTCCTGCAAAAAGGGATATATAGGGAAAAAAAAAGCAGAAAAGCAAAAAAACAAAATAAACGACGTGTCTCTTTCAAATCGCCACCCCATAGAGCTGATTCGAAATGAGCAAGGGCCACGTCGCTGAAAATCAGCACCAAACATGTTGCAAGAAAAACGATAACGAATAAAGAGTTCTTGCTTTCTGTCCAAGCTCTCCAGGACCGTAACAAGAAACGTGGATCCATCGCGGCGTCTGATTTTGGTGACATGACCTCCTCATTGTATTCAGTATCGTCTTTAGCCAAGACTACGGAAACCAAATAGACTTCAATAGACATGGTCAAAATCAACGCAACCTTATGGACGGCTTGAAAAATGGGCGTTTGCGCGAAGCACCTGGGCCAAAAGATCATTGCGGAAGCGATAAATCCTAGAAAAGGACCGCGTACAATTTATGTTCTTCATGTACTGAGGGATGTTCATAACACACTTTCATGATTGCCGTTAAGTTACTAATTTGAAAAAACATCATGGACAAGGAAAGAACTCTCAAGACATTACAGGATTCCGTAGCTTGAATACGGAAACCATTCCACCAATCCGCGGCATCCGCGACCAGAATTACAACTTGGCAAGCGACATGAAGACCTAATAATATCCAGCACTTTTTGGTAAACCTGTATTTTTTTCCATCTTTGAAGCAGCTCAGTAACAATAGTCCGTTGAAAAAGATTGCGGCTAAATCCAGTACGAATATCAAAAGAGGAGTTGGCACTGCTAAATACATGATGCGAGAGCGAAATCCTTCCTTGGTTCGTGGTTGAATGAGCTGTATTGACGTGTGTCTTGAGAGCGCGCAATTATCTTATCAGTATCGGGGAGAGCCAAGGGAGGTCTGAACAAGAACAGAAAAACATAGGAATGGTTACCCGTCCATGATTCTTATCTTACGCTTCTGATTTGTCAGAAACAAACGCAAAAAAAGTTAAAAAAATAGCAAAATCAACGGCATTTTATGAAAAGTGTGATGTACCACTGTCTGAAGAGTAGACCTTTTTATTTAACACGTAAGTGGAGTTGATGGTATTTCAATAAACAGGCAGGCTCTGTTGCTATTTTCGGAGAGGTTTCTGTGTAACCTCTATGCTATTCTAAAACAAAGCATTAGTCCTAAAGGCAACTCTATTGTTTTCGCCATAGTTTCTTTAACCAAAACGAAGTTTGGAGCTGAACGTACATCTTACCCACTTTCTGTCTTTCCTCTCTAATCAATTTTCGAACTGTTAAAAGAGAACTATGTTTCTAGAAACTAAATAATTCACATGTCCGCGTTCAAACAATTTATGAGATTCAAATTTAAAATTCTAATAAATGCCTAAACGTGATCGTTCCAAAGCTGCTTTCAATTGTGATGAAAATTCGATTTAGCGACGCTTTTTTCTTCTCAGGCTCTTTTTTAGGTTAATCCCTTGTCGAATTCCTGATCAGGAAAATGATTCTCTATTTTTAACTTAGCACGTTCAACATTTCTTTCTCCTAAGGTGACTATAAGTGTCCAAAACTTCTATTTTTCATCCTGCGCACTGAATTTATAATCAGTTAACTTGCGTGAATGGCGGTAGAACAACAGGAATCAAAGAGCGATTCAAACTGTTCCAAAATATGCCCTTTTTTTCTTTTCAATATTGCGACATGAAAAAGAGACAAAGTATTCAATCCTCAATTGAAGATAAGTTTAAAGAAAAGTACTTGGGAAGTAAGCAAGAAATGATTTTAAGTCGAAGGTAAATCTTTAAACTGATAGATTATAAACAGTTTATAAGCTCCTGATTTGTTACATCGTCCTGAACGAGGAACGTACTAATAAGTCCCTTTGATATCGTTGACCTTCATGTCTCAGCTTAACAAATAAGCCTAGAAATATTCCCCTTCCGCCAGCTCTCCCAGAAAAATTGGAAATCACAGTTTAAAATACAGTATGTCGTGACAAGAGAGAATTCGAGGTTCGTGTTCTTTCGTCGTGACCGCATCAACATCACGGAAAGCTTGCGTTATGTAGCTTTTGTCACGCAAATTATCAAGTCACCTGATCACGGAGAGCCGGTTCATTTACGCTGTGTGCTTTGTGAGCTGTTGAGAAAATGGAAGGAATTTATTTCTTCCTCACTCTCTGTTCCTTTCTGAATTTAGCATCATCGCATCAAGCAGTTAAACACCTTTCCATGTCTGATTTGGCACCGTATGACTCTCCTCATGGACCCGAGCAGATTCACATTTCCTACGGAAATATTCCGAGTGAAATGACAATAATGTGGTCGACCTCGAATTCATCGGAGTTTGCCAGTTCGGTCGTCCTTTATGGCTTAGCGCCGAAGAATTATTCTCTTGAAGCAAAGGGAAAATTTGTTTTATTTACCGAAGGAAATCCAGATGGACTGAAATACATCCATCGCGTTGTTCTCCAGGTAAGAGCCACAGAAGTGTTTTAAAACAATGGTGACTTGATTCCCAATCGATCGATCATGGAACGTAATTTCAAAGTTTTCAGTTTTGAAGCGGTTTTCAAAAGCCTATGATGGTAACTGTTTTTAGTCACAAAGTATTGTACTAGCTCTGCCAGAAGGTTTTTTACAGTCAGTTAGTTTATTTCGTTAAGACTGACCTCAACAGGAAATGGACCAGTTGTTGACGATTCATCAAGCGATAGTTATTATTGCATGAAGTAAAGAAGTGATTGGTGATCAAGTCACCAACATGTGATTTAAACCATTTTAGTACAGATATTGCTTCTTTGAAACAGCAGTTTTAAACATTCTGCTTGTGGCATGGTTCTGATCAGATTCAATATGAATGAGTATACATTTAGAAGGCCGCAAAGAACATTGTGTAACTCGTACTTGAATTTGGCGAATTTATCAGGCTAGTGCTGGCTACGCATTGGTAATCCTATTTTCGGTTTTAAGAAGATTTATTACCAATGTCAATATAACAAGTAGTCAAATGAAAAAAAGGGGATGAGTTTCTAAAGAAACTGTGTTTGATCTGTGTAGCAAAGTTTGGTTTAACAACCGAGTGAATAATGTAAATCGGCCACCGTAAAGAGTTTCTCAGCTAAGAAACTCTTTACGGAGGCTAAGTTACAGTAATAACTCGTTTGATAAAACCGAAATACTCAGATCCTTCCTTACAAAATGGTTGTGTAGAGTAATGGTTGCGTTGACTAAAACTCCAGGTTAATCCTACACCAGAAAAAGTATCATTTTAGGTAAGGTATGGGTTGCACCTTGAATATTTTTGAAGGATTGTATTTACTGTTTAATAAAAATCTGTGTTCAGTTGTTCCCCAAATTTCCAGTCAGCGAAAACATTAATGGTGTTGTAATGCTTTAGTGGGGCAAATTTTGAGAAAATTGAGCTAAACAATAGCACAATAACAGCAGTAACTGACAGTGCTTGCCAGAAAAGCATTATTGATATAACCCTTTAACTCCCAAGATCTGATTGTTAATTTTCCCCTCTAGCTGTTACACATTTCCTTGTAACTTAGCTATGAGAACTTATTGTTAGATCAAGATGGTGGCTTCTACGCAATAAGTTGGATTATTCTCATTACCTGTTTGCTGAATAGTGTATGGATATTATAGGGAGAAGTTTCATGTTAATCACATCTGGGAGTTAAATGGTTAACATGAGTGGAGGTCAGTTTTATTTTGTCTGACAATGTTGATGTTTTTACACAAATTATGTCAATACTTGAATGGGGAGCTAAATAACCCAGTCGTATGAAAAAGGTAGATAACAAGCCAATTTTTTGTCTACAGGTTATAAGTTAGATTTTCCACTATTACCTCTCTTCAAGCTACCAACTAAATGCAGGCTTCATTTGCTTATCTTTTCTACACTAAACAGAATATAATAAACTGCCTCTGATTGAATAAAAGGAGAAGTGCAGTGGTTGAGCAAACTGTTAAATGGGATACAAAGCCATGATATCCTATCTTTGGAGAACATGAATATTAGCCATCGTGTACTTACTTTCTGGTGTATTCCAGCTTTCAATGTGTCAGAACATTTATAGTTACCTTTAGTAATATAACCACTAGTGCAACCCTACTTGGTTGACTAACAGTTTTGGCATTTTACTCAGCAGAGTAGAAAAATCTTCTCAAGTAAGACCCATGTTGTAATTTAACAAATATTTCTTATTTCAGTAAATTACAATTATGGAACTTATTTTTGAACTTCCAAAGTTGATGTTTTGTCAATTCACATCACATGTTTGCTGAATGTTGTATTGAAATTTTTGTGTGGAATTTACGTGTTGATCATGATGATCATGATTATTTTCTTACATCTAATGTTGATATTTATTCATTTTTTCAGGGTTTAATTCCTGGGATAAAATACTCATACCGTGTACAAAGTGGTAGTAACATTAGTGATGGGTTTGAATTCACTGCTAAAAGAGATGATGAGGTAAGGTGCTACATTTCTCTTGAGCCCCTTGCTCTCAAGATCTCATTAGTAATTCTCCTTACTGAATGCCATTTGATTCTTATGATGTTAAGGCTGAGAATTTGGTATTCGATCAACTTATAATCCCCTTATTGATGTTTTTCTTTATTCTCATTGCTTATCAATATTGATATTGTAAGGAGAAATTCTGTCTTGGTTACTCAAGAGAGGATTTATAAAAATAAGTAAACAAAGACAACTAAATAAAACTTTATCCTATTTGAATTGTCTTTCAAGAAATCTGAATGCCATGCAAGTAATTGACTTTATCCACACGTGTTTGAAATGAGATTTTGTAATTTCTCTAAAACACTAACCAAACAAAATGTTTTGTGTGATTTGTCATTTCTGGTAAGGATAAACAACATTTTATTAAGAACGTATGTAGGAAAAAAAACTGGTTGCAACAAAATAGTTTTGATTGGTGATTAGTGCATTTTTAGTAGAGCATCGCACCGGTATCGCGGAGGTCACGGGTTCGAATCCCGTTGAAGCCCTGATTTTTTTTCAGGCTTCTTCTTTCCAATTGCTTAAATTGGAAAATTTACTGCGATGATCACATTTCACTTTCATCTACAACCGCAGTACAAATATGAATTATTTCATATAAACTTCACCTCATTTCACTGCACGGGAAGATATGAACTCAATAAATTGACCTCGCTCCCAATGTGTGGCTTCATAGCTCAGTTGGTAGAGCATCGCACCGGTATCGCGGAGGTCACGGGAAAATTGGGAAAATTTACTGCGATGATCACATTTCACTTTCATCTACAACCGCAGTACAAATATGAATTATTTCATATAAACTTCACATCATTTCACTGCACGGGAAGATATGAACTCAATAAATTGACCTCGCTCCCAATGTGTGGCTTCATAGCTCAGTTGGTAGAGCATCGCACCGGTATCGCGGAGGTCACGGGTTCGAATCCCGTTGAAGCCCTGATTTTTTTTCAGGGTTCTTCTTTCCAATTGCTTAAATTGGAAAATTTACTGCGATGATCACATTTCACTTTTATCTACAACCGCAGTACAAATATGAATTATTTCATATAAACTTCACATCATTTCACTGCACGGGAAGATATGAACTCAATAAATTGACCTCGCTCCCAATGTGTGGCTTCATAGCTCAGTTGGTAGAGCATCGCACCGGTATCGCGGAGGTCACGGGTTCGAATCCCGTTGAAGCCCTGATTTTTTTTCAGGGTTCTTCTTTCCAATTGCTTAAATTGGAAAATTTACTGCGATGATCACATTTCACTTTCATCTACAACCGCAGTACAAATATGAATTATTTCATATAAACTTCACATCATTTCACTGCACGGGAAGATATGAACTCAATAAATTGACCTCGCTCCCAATGTGTGGCTTCATAGCTCAGTTGGTAGAGCATCGCACCGGTATCGCGGAGGTCACGGGTTCGAATCCCGTTGAAGCCCTCATTTTTTTTTCAAGGTTCTTCTTTCCAATTGCTTAAATTGGAAAATTTACTGCGATGATCACATTTCACTTTCAAAATAGTTTTGATTGGTGATTAGTGCATTTTTAGATTTTTTATGTGGCGTGTCCAACCATTTAACAATGTGCCCCACTGAAAATGTACATGTATTTCTACTTTGTATCCTTGCGGCATAAATTTTTCAAGAATCTATGAAAAGTAGAAGAGAGGGTAGATGTGTTAGGGTAGATATGTTAGTGTGGCACTCATCAGAGCTCTAGGTGACTTATGAAATCCCTCTATCTGCCATTGTTGCCTGAACAATTGGAACAAGTATAACCAAGTTATGGCTGCTTCAAAATAGTATAGCAAATGGCTTATAACCTTGTAATTACTGTTTGGCATGATTTCCTTTTGTTTGGCATTAAAACAGCCTTAAATTAGACAGTTGTAATTTTGAATTGATAATTCTCTTGTTTGATTTGTTAAATAGGAAGAATACTTGACTTTTGATATCTACAGGCTTGAAAAGAAAATTTGTAAACATCATTTTGATAAGTGGAAAGAGTTGCTGCTGCTTTGTATGAAAATTTTTTCCTTCCCCTCCCATCAGACCATTTTATTATGTATGTAGCCTTCATCAGTCAACAGATATGATAGTCAGAAAGCTTCTCCATGAAGATTTTAAAAAAATTGAGTCTCATTTGCAGTAAACATTTCTATTGTTTGTATCTATTTTAAGTGATAGTTCAGGCACTGTTCTTCAGCCATCACCGACAAAAAATTGAGAATTAGCACCGAACATTTGGAACCAACCTGCTTTCGATACTTGATGCAGAGAATAGAACGTAATGAATTGCCTAAGCTTTGGTCAACTTTTCATTTCTCACCACTAGTAAACTTTAGAATCATCCCTAAATACATACCTTTTATTATTATTATTATCATGAATTTTTTGGTGGTTTACTCATTTTTTATAAGATTGCATTACTTGTTTCATCATAACCATTACAATTTCCTCAAATGTGATTGGTGCATCAGCTGCTTTGTATATCACTAATCACTTTGAACAGTTGTAATTGATCAGTGTAATCGGACAGTTGCCTGTAATCGGACACCTGTGTTTGGACAGTCAAAGCAGCCAATCATACTAAGTCCGCTTAGCTAAATCCACCAATCACAGAATTGATCACAATAACCATAGCAACAATCACTTACTCTGAAAAAAAATTGGGAAATTTCCAAATTTTTTGCTTTAAACAGTGTTCCTACAGGAGAAGTTTGTCCTAAGTGTTTTTTTTTCGCTTCGCGGTCGTCCGATTTTATTAATCACTCGTATGATTATAGACCGAACTGGACACCACACAATCCTATCACCATTATTATAATAAGTAAAGTAGAAACTTTCGTGTGCGCTGTACTAGCAACAGCAAAGTGACCTAAGTTTTGTTTTGAGGCGAATGGATATCTCTCTGTCGATTTCACGAGCACGTAAGTAACACCTCACCCAATCACGAGCGAGAGTTTTTATTTTACGGACATGTGTTTGTCAGTGACTTCGTAGCCACCTTGGTAACACATTTCGCTCAATTTGCTCGGCGACGATCGAGGCATTTAGGGCGTCGTCTCCAAGAATGTGTATATGACAATCGACCCTGGCACTTCTTCCGTTGTCGCTTCCTCGTCTTGTTTGGTTGAACTTTTGCTTGCTATTCTCGTCGTCGCGAACGAAAGAGGTTTTTTATGCCTCTCCAAGAATTTGTAGTTCATTTCAAAACAGGGAAGAACCTCTGGCTCACTTTGAAAAACGCTTTTGTTTGTTTCCAGCTCTTCAAAAGGTGATGATGGTTTTGAAAGCACTTTTGAATGACATTGTAGAAAACTTTGTTACAATATGACGATAGTTGTTATGAGCACGTAGATGCGAAACAATATCACTTAGCCTCCTTTTCAACTCGCAATTCCACGCTAAATCCTTTGCTTCGTTGACCAATCAGAATGCGGGATTTTGTTTAATCGTGCGATTCCATTAGACATTTTTATGATAAAGTTTCGACGTAATGCTGAATATTTCTTTCAGACAAGTATGATTGTTTACCTAATTTGAACCGCAGCACTGTCTTCCAACAAACAGTTGTTGACTTTGTTATTTGCTATTTGTTTCTGCCTTTCAAATTGAAAATTTAGTCTTAGTTTTAACCATTTCTCCGGTAGAGAATGCGTCAACTGATTTTTACTTTTCTTATAGATTATAGGCGAGAAATTTCGGTTTATAACGTTCCCCTTTTTCCCTGGGAACAGACGTAGACGATTAAAAGACAGCTCCGCGTCTCTTGGCAGTTTCGCGCGACCCTGGAAATTAATATATGTTGACATGTTCACATTCAACCCAAAATCAACGATAAACAATCCTCACGTTTGTGCAAATATGTTCTTTGTATGATGCAATCTTTCAATGCGGGTATACTTTCTCCAGTCAGACCTCAAGTTCTGAGTGATACGAAGTGCTCGTATTTCAGTTCCCACGAACAGCTCAAGACATTAAGAGATCGCGCCATTTGAGTACCATAATTTTAGTGTTGTTTATTCGTAGTTTAACCGGATTTCCGAAAATTTATATGCAGTTCTGTTTGGAAAGTTAAAATTCAGTTCCGTTTGTAATAAAAACAAACCAGCTTTCAACTCGCAGATATATATTGATAACTAAACAATTTTACCCTTCAAAATTAGAAAGGGGCAAGGAACCAATCAGTTAGTTCTTCCTTTCTTCTTCGTCCTCCCAATTAGCATTTCATTTTACAAACGGTAGTGCTAATTGGAAGGACGGCACTGAATCTGAGAAAGCCTTTCTTTTACACGTGTAACAAGTAGTTAGAGCTAGGAATCGTTTGAGCAGCTGAACTTGCAACAAGTGCCATAAGGTTGAAGAAATTTGAGCTTTGTTAGGACTAGAAATAGCAGGAAAATAGCCCGGCACTCCGTTGTAATTAAACATTTCTCGCTCTTCGGCTTTAACTCGGTCTCGCCTAAATCGAGAATCTTTGTATCTCTTCTTGACAAACTTAGCAATTCAGTAAAAGTTGTCAGTTAATAGATTCGCATTTTTTGTAAGGCTCTTGGGGTGAGTATGGTACAATCAAAGCCCCCCCTCCCCTCCCCCCTCCCCTGAGGGAGGGAAATTGGGCTCAGTCGAAATAACGTAAGAAATTTAGCTTAGAAAGTGGCGTATAGTTTTAGCGAAACCGGAGCCCTTTGAGACTACACCCTACACATATTAAAAAGTAGTTAAAGGTGATGATAATTTTACCAATCTAATCTGCGAAGGGAACTTAGTCTGATCAAGTTGGTACTAGACAACGATGGTGAAAGAAATTTGTTTCCACAATTTTTTGTCCTTTGCAGGATTGGTCGCCGCAGTTCTTGGTTTATGGAGACATGGGTCGAATTGGAGGAGCACCCAGTCTCAAACGGCTTATTATGGAAGCTAGGTCCGGACACAACACGGCCGCATTGCATGTTGGGGACTTCGCCTACGACCTTCAAACTGATGGAGGACTTGTAAGTAATGATGCAGCTTTTTCTATTCCTTCGATGTAATGCCCATAAGCACCCTAAAAGTACACGGTGCGAGTGGAATTCAACAATAGGAAATTGTCAGCTTAAAGGTCGCAGATTTTCTAATAAACTGTTTCAAACCAACACCATATGCCTGCCAAGGCGCTGAGGTATCAAATTATTCTAATTAAATGTTATTGATCTCTTTTTAGTTTTCCCTTCCTTTTAAATCTTGTCATCTCTTTCTAGAATTTTTTCATCGTTAACTTGATTTTTTTCGGCTGATTTTGTCTTGTTTTGTGATAAACAGGAATAATATGAACAATTAAAGGGGCAGATTCATGTTGTAAATCTATAAATTGATACCCAATCGAGGCGCACTGATTAAGATCACTGTCATGAAAGTGTAGAGCAGCGGAAAACTGTCTGTCGTAGTTCAAAGCTTTCCTTGGCTACCGTTCATGTGGCTTGAAGCCTCAGTTTCAAGCCTTTCTCGGCAATTTCGTAGCCTGAGATCAGTAGTTTCTCTCTTCGGTTTTTAGTTTGTGACACGCTTACTTGAAAATTCTTAGTCTCTCTTATTCTTTGCCTACCTCAGAATGGTGACGCTTTTATGAACAAAATTCAGGACATGGCCGCGTGGATTCCTTACATGACATGTGTTGGAAATCACGGTTAGAGTTTAGTTTAGTTTCAGTAGGAAAACTTCTCAAATTGTAGATTGAAAGAGGCTCAGGAAAGTCAAATAAATTCATAATTCTTAAAGGGAACGAACGGCGTCGTATCGGGATGAGTTAGCGCGGTTACAAGCTTGCGATCGTTTATCGGGCGGCCATGTTTGCTTTAGAATTAGAGAGGATAGGTGAGTGAAGAAGGTGGAGAAAGATGAGACTGCCCTCTTTTGACCGTCGCTTAAGCCCTTGTGACAAACTTCTTTCTCTCCCCTCCTCCCCTGTGAAAATCAAAGCTCTAAAAATGGCAGCTATAGTTTTCATCAAGAAAATACTGAGCTCTCACTCGCCAAAATCACGCTTTCTCTGCAGTCTAAATCAGTCGCTATGAGATCTATCTTAGTTTTTTCCTTTTATTTCAGAGATTCCTTTCAACTTCAGTCACTACCGATACAGGTTTTCCATGCCGCAACTCCAGTGGCCCACTGAAATCGACAGAATGTGGTACAGCTTTGACGTCGCCAGAGCTCACTTCATCGCGTACGTTTATCTCATATTTTACATTACTTTTTGAACCCGTCAAGGTGAAAAATCATGGAGTGGTTCGTGCGTTATGTGCCTCATAAAATTCAGCGTCGAAAAGACGACTGAGTTCGTTTTCAGGTCATGGAAAATGTCCTTTCTGATCAACCTTACCAGAATAGTGAAACATCATGACAGCTTCTTGTTTTACGGACAGCCCCCTTCATTTCATGCGGTAGTCCCCCATCTTTATTTTCCCCCCTTTACTCCCCCCCCCCTCCCTCACCAGGTACAGCAACTTGTGCTGAGTTGGGAACTCTAAACCATAAATCAGTTTCATTGGATGGAATTCGAACGGACTTTATTTCTATTTTCTCTTGATTTTTTATTTCCATTTGTTTTGCTCACAGTTACTCGTCTGAAGTATACTTCACCAACGGCTCCATTCAGGGTCAACTCGAGTGGTTAACCAACGACCTTAAAAAGGCGAATCAGCCCGAGAACCGTGCCAAGCGTCCTTGGATAATTGCATTTGGCCACAGACCAATGTACTGTTCAAATATTGATAGAGATGATTGTACCACGCTTCACTCTGTGGTTAGACACAGGTTGGTTGGCAAACAGTTTCCTTGTATGAAAGACCGACATGTACTTAGCGTCCCCGCCCCCCTTTTTTTTTTCTCTCTGCGACATGTGAAATAACATTTTAGAACGAGGTCCCGGAAGTCTCGAATGCGATATAGTCTATGAATTCAAACCAGTTTTTGTGTTTGTGTTTTTCTTTAGCTTAGAGCCGCTATTTTTCCAGTACGGTGTAGACATTATCATCGAAGCGCATGAACACTCGTACGAACGCCTCTGGCCAGTGTTCAACGACATAGTAACAGCTCACAACTACAGCAATCCTAAGGCCCCAGTCCACCTGATATCGGGCGCAGCGGGCTGCAATGAGGCTTATGGAATATGCGTGAGTCCCATGTTAGGACCTAGAGGTATGCAATATTTTATTAGCTTTTAGGGACTCATAAATGACTGTGTTTTCCTTGGTTGTGGATTTCCAAAATCAAGGGAGGTTTAAAATGTAATAGTTAGCACTATTGCCCTTCAAGAAAATCGAGGGTCGCCGCGCTGAATCTTCATAGTATAGTCTCGCTATCCAGAACTTAAGCCGCTGCTTCTTTTTGCGGTCGTAAATTTGTGGTTTATTCTAAATAATTCCCATCCTTGGTACTTCAAATCGTTTTCACTGGCTCCACTGCAGTTTCCTAATAATTATACTATCTTAAAATATGCTTCGGTTTCTAAATTTAGAAAGAGTCTCATGCAATAAAACCGCTCGAGAAGCCGCTTTCTATTTATTAAAGGCATCACTTCAAAAACGTGTCAGGCTTTAGTCAAGAGCGTCTGGTTATTTGCGCTGCTAGGAGTCAAGATCTGAAATCCTTGTAAATCTTGTGGATCCAGCTAATACAGATTAGACGTAATACGTTTGGTAGAGTTTTTTCTTGTTTGTTAAATTTTGGACGCGGCTATTTCGTAAGTAGTACTTTATCGCAGACTATCTTGCTTGTAAAACTTTACTTCGGAGAAGAATTACCACCTCAATAGTCTATATTCGACAAGAACTTTCGTCGATAAGCCGCAACCCCTCTGTATTCGTGGTTCTTCGAACGACCACCGGTACATTTAAAATGGTAGTCGTTTCCCTTCAGAACAAAACGCCAGTATAGCAACGAAAATGGAGACGTTGATATCCACTTGTGCAGATTTTTGACGTTGGAGGTCCATTTTTGGTCAAGGTTTAATCTTTCTTGACGAGGAAATCAACAGTTCGCAGAGTTCTGCCTCTAGTTTTTTTTTTTCAAGAAATAAACTCAGCAGAAGGCATCTGGAACGTCATTTCGCGATTTGCTAAAGCTCTACCAAAAAGGAGTGACAGAGCGTCCTTTGTTGAAGATACCATGCGCCTGGTTGGTTCTCAACCTCTGTAGAATTTCGGGAGAAGTGACTTTAAAAAGTGTAGGATAACTTATTCCAGAAAAGAATCGGCGGCGTCTGCATTTGGAAATGCTGGACAGAGGAAGTACCTTGGCAATCTTACCGTTCACTTCGTCACCACACCTTCCGTTTATTGGCAAATTAATCTTCCGTGCAGTGGGGGTCTGGTGCCAGCATTCGTTTACCTTCAAAACTGCATCGTACTGTGATTTCTGTTCTAGATTTGTAGGAAAGTACAAGATATCGATGAAGTCCCGAGAAAATTTATATTAATCATCATGGATTCTGGATTGATCAGGACAACGTGCTGTTTTTAAAACAGATTAGAACTGGCACTACTCTTGTTTTGTTTTTTTGTTTGTTTGTTTTTTGAGCAATTTTATACATTTTGTAAATATGTTTGTGATTTCATTTTGACTCCAGTCTCAGCCTTAATTTCAGTTTGAATTATGGGTCAACTGTTGACTATAATCGACGCATTTAACGTAACTCAATCTTAAGAAGATGTCTACTCCTTGTTCAATATCAAAACAAAAAATATCCTTTCTCTATTTTACACAATTGTCCGAGTTAACGTGACTATGGAATGAAAAAAAAGTTGCAAGGTGAATTCCTTTCTTAGCAGATCACCACTGCTTGCTTCTCGAGGCTTTCCTAATTTTTATATTTCTAGATAACATTAACTGATTTTTTATTATCATGGTGCCTTAAGGGTCTACATCGTAGATTGTTCCACTTGAAAATTGTAAATTTCAGTGCATGGTCCTCGCTCATCTTCCCTCTCTAACATAATAAAATGTCCTGGCGTAGATTCTTGAATAGATTACGAGTGTTAATCGTCGTCTTTCGTCAGGTCCCTGGTCTGCCTTCCGCGAGTGGTTCCCGGGCAATGCTGGTTACGGTAAACTGAGGATTGAGAACTCAACTCATGTGTACTGGGAACAAATTGAGGCTTATGATGGTTCGGTTACAGACAGTATATGGATAAAACAGGAACACCACGGACCTTTCAAACCCCTGGATCCGTGGTTGTAGTAGGAGACAGAGGGTAACAGCACAAAGTACAGGACACTGAATTTCACTTAGAATTTCGCTGACACGCTACTTTACGAGGAATCATTCAAAATGAAGTTTAATTCAGCGCCTCCATAATCAATGGAACTCAAAATGTTATCTATTCCAAAACATACAGTATAACTTTTATATTTTTAGCACTCTCTAACTGCTTTTAACATGATTTTTAAAAGGTTTGGAAGTTTCTGTTCTTCAAAAATGTTCGCACTGAATGTAATAAAATTTAACTAGTATCATATTGAACTGGAGCTCATAAAGTCATCTGGAGGGTGTCAGATTGAACGAAAAATATTTCATATTTAAGACTGTAATCTCAAACTGCTACGATCATGTACGGGACTCTTATTGTAAGAATTGAATTTTGAATACATTTAATATTCTTTTTCGGCTTTGTATATATATGTAACCACCATCCCATCGCCTTAGTGCACTCTTGTGCGGGCGTTTGATATTTTAGATATGTAAGACGCGATGCATTACTTCGATGTGTGTTGGTAGGTCGAAGGGGAGCAAAGTCATTTGACGGGGGAACTAATAGTTAATAAACACGGAAAAACTTTGCTTAGTTAGAGCTAAGAAGCCGTCTTTATTAAACTAAAGAACAGAACTCATTTCAAATGCCGCCACGAGAATAAGTTTTACTTAGCAAATTTCACAAGCCGCCAACAATAGCTCTATAGAATCTTTATTTCACACATAGATCAGATCATCACACTACTGAATTAATTAGCTACTTATCTAATTTGTATCTAAGGAGGTATGTTCTTCATTGAATAAAGTTCTGTCTGACGAGCGCCTAGGCGCGAAACTCAGAGTCACAGAGAATCGATGCGTCCTCTTTAATTCTTTGACTTGTGTGTATATATATATATGTGTGTGTGTTTCTTTTTTTTTTTTTTTTTTTTTTTCAACAAACGCAAAAAGACAGCGATGAGTGCCATTTCTAATCTTACTCAGAATTATGTTGTTTGGAGCACTCACTTCCAGGGATTCTTAGAATTGCCTTTGTCGTTGGTCTCGACTCGGGTGACGAAATTTTGAAATAATCAGAGTAGCACTCATCACTTTCTGATTGGCTGTACTCGTGAAAAATTATTGAATATGTAAAACTGCGTGCGTAAATCTAAAAGCAAGTTTTAAAATTTGAAAGTTTAACCGATTTTTTGTTCCAATGATGTGAATTGTATAATGGTTTTGCTACAGAACTGAATGCCATTTGGAACGATACATTCAATGATTTTTTTCTTCAGTCATATAAATTAATCTGCCTCAAGCAAACCAATCTTTGACCAGCTGATTGCTCCAAGATATAATTGCTATTTAAGGACTCTCACCTTTCATTTGCAACCTTACAAAATGTAACCCACCAAATATAGCAGGATTGCTTGTGCTGTATATGAGAATATTCATTGTCTATGCATCTGGATCAAACTTGCTTAGTTTAGTTCTGGAACGCTATATCGCTGTGGTGAAACCTTTGAAGTATTTGACTTTTATAACGCGCCGCGGAGTCACTCAGATGGTTGTTATTTCTTGGGGAATTCCTCGTTAAATGATTGTCGTAGCAGTGTGGATCGACAGAATACTAAACGCCGAAGAAGTTCCATCGATGTTTTCCTTCTTATTATCAGCTTATCATTTATGTCTTTCTATGTTATCCTTTGTGCTGTTTTCCTTTTTTGCGTTTTGTCTACGTTGCGTCGAGGTCAAAGTGTAGTGAGACAGCTGCAGCATAACGTCCTCAACCAACGGATCAAAATTAAAACTCAAAGCAAATCGAAGAGATCAAAGCTTATAATGATCTAGAAAAGAAGGGAGAAATAGAATTGATTTGCCTGAAAGCAGTAGAGAGATGGTAGATAAGTCTCCGCGTAAAATGACCAAAAGTGCCGCCCAAAATGCTGTTGAATATTTATGTGATACTCCCCTAAGTAATCAATGTCAGAAATCAACGCAAAAAGGAGAGCATTTTTTCTGCCTTGTTTTCTTCAGTATTTGAACACCGCGTAAAATTTCCTTGTTGTTAAAGAAGAAAAAATAAACCTCCTTGTTAACAAAGCTGATATTTTTGTGGCAATGGATTCAGTAATGGTTCAGTAATCAGGGAGATTTGCAAGAATTATTTAACGAATAGAGAAGCCTTGCCTGTGCCCTTTTCTGTTGTAAGGCACTTAGTAGCAGCTAGTGCACGTAAGAAGTGTAACGAGAAACCTTTTCTCGCTTTTTTCCACACATCTCGACGAAAAAGGCTCGTGAGAAGTTCGGGAGATGGTCAGACATATTACAGTTTCGCAGATGGCATGACAGCTTCAGCTCAGCTCTATGTTTTTTACTTTGATAGAGCACGCTCTTTTAACCAATGACAGCGCGCGTTATATCCGAACTTTATTATAAAATTAAATGACCCATGCAGTTTCAATTTTTTTCCATCAGTCGAACGATATGAAAAAGCCTACAAAAGGATACACCAAGCTGAGGCAGTTAACAGGCTCATCTTTTTGAAATGGGTCTCTTGAGCAATAATCTTGATGAGAACCTGAAAATCGAATTCCTCATATATTAAGTTCTTGCGATTTTTAAAAGTTTTATAGCTGAAAAATTACATGGATTATTGATTGATCCAATGGGCATTTTGAAGCGTAGAAATCTTCATGTCCAGAATTCCATTTTTTTTCCCTCCATGTGGTATGCATCGACCTTTTTAAATTCCTTGGCCATCTTATTTCGTACTGCCCCACCTGTTTGGGCGTAGCCAATCTGCTGACAGCTTTGGTTGTCAGAAGATTGGCTAATCTTGAAGCTAATCTTGGGGCACTTGCCATATGCTCTTGTACCTTCGAAATCTTTTGGAAAGCAACTTGGTTAATGTGTTCTAAAACTTTCCACTTAATATGGCGCTTTGCTTCAAAGCATCATTTTAGCCTCTAAATCGACTTAATACATTGTTATCGTGTCTCCTTTTTAGTATTACCGTTCAGTCACATGACAGAGAGCTGACCTTCATTTAGCGATGATCTGGAGTCTTGATTGAGTGGTGATTTGGGTTGCATTCATCTCATCATCCAACACTATGTTTTTATTGTAATCGATATCAGTATCTAAGTCACTTTGCATCTTGTTCAAGGAAAAGTAAAATAGCCAAAGGATTTTCACTTTAAGGGGAAGTTGAAACATCAGAGAGAGGAAAGGTTTCCAAATCAAGTTCAGCTTGGTAGGTTTGAATTTCAAGCTTCTCGTCACGATAACTGTATGTGCTTTATCGCCCACTGTACCAAATACTACTTGTACTATATAATAACTCACATGCTCTTTCGGTGAAGAGCTTTATTAACAATTTGATTTCAATTAATCTGCTCTTTATAAAATCGTAATGGAACTATTTATCAACGACTTGTACAGAGATTGTTCCAGCATAATTCACTGGCCCTGCTGACGAACTGTTCAGATATCACGTCGAGCTGAAAAGGGCGATCTGGAGTTCCAATTAATGAATCCCTGCCTATAAGACTAGAGGATCTCCTGTAACCATTTCGAAGAACTTTCCTCAACGAATAAGAGCGCATGCTTTGCATGAAAACGCGCCGGAATAATTTTTGTGCTATAAAATTGCGAAATCCTAGCTTGCACCTGTGTATAAGTTTCTGAGCACTGTTGAAACAAAAAGGGGCTTCTTTTCACATAGTCATGACCAAAGTTTATATTTCAAATCATGGCTATCTATATTTCGTGTCTATATATATTTCAAATCATGGCTATCTATATTTCGTGTCTATATATATTTCAAATCACGTCTATGTTATGATGAATTATCTTTTTCTTCTCCTGAGGGATTAGAATAGGTAATCACATTATTTCGAGTGCAATTTGGCATAAGTAAGCAGGAGTAAATTTTTTTGAAGACTGACAAAATTGCACGAGCCTGTAGGGCGAGTGCAATTTGTGGTCTTTGAAAAAATTAACAAGTACTCGTTTATTCCAAATTGCACAAGAAAATCATGTGATTACGTGTTAATAAGAAACATGGAAAAATACGAGATGGCTTGTTATAATTAAGCATAAGCAAAGCGCGCGCATCAAGTGCAAAAATAATTTATTCAAACCGTGCGTTCGGTCAATACTACCGTGTACGATGAAAACAATAATATGCAATGATATCTTCTCATCTTTAAGGCGCTAAAAAGTTCCAAGTCCGGCTAAACAGTTCAAGGAATTGTCCAGTTTGTGTCCGAATCACTTTGGATGAAATGGAATCGTCGTTTCCGAGGTTTAACCATGTTTGTTTTTAATTTCGGCATTGAATCGCTCGAGCAAAGTGTTAAGCTGGGTCGGCTCGTAATTTTCGATTTCCTTGGCAATCCCCCTCTCTAAACACCACTTTTTCCAAAGAGCAGTGCTTTTTACAGTGTTTTCGTTGTTTGAGCAGTTTTTCAGCTGCGGTGGCGAAAAAAAACCTACTTAAAATGCCGGTTATTGTTTCGCTCGCAAATTTTCAAATTTTCAAATTTTGTTGCGACATCCAAGGCTCGCATTTCATCGGCTATCTGTGAGTTTCTTTGATTATTGACCAATCAGAATGTCTGATTTGTTACTTTCTTTGCACTGAATTAACCCTCTTCTGCACTGAATTAACTCTCTTCTGCACTGAATTATCTGAAAACTGCATTTATCTTAACCAATCAGAACTGAGTAATTTTTCTATGTATATTATTAGAAATAGGAACTCTGATAGAATCCTCGTTTTGTTCAGAATCCGCTCAATTTATTCCAAATCTACCCTTACTCAAAATACTCCTTTCATTTTTTGAGATTGCAATAGGGAAATAATTAAAGCGTCCGCTGTCACTTAAGAAGCAACATCTCTCAGGCTTTGTTCCGTCGTGGGTCTCAGGTCGAGCCATTTAAAAGAAAAATAAACTATAGAAATATAAGTCTGTGTCAAATCATTTGGTAAACATTAAACGGGTAACTTGCGTTTGCAGTATTGCATGCGACAACTAAGTTTTTTTTTCGTAAAAATAAAAAGAGGTGAAAATGGCTTTAAGGTCAATCATTCTGAAGATTGCAAGTACTTGACATAGTGTGGGACCGATGATAAAAGTTATAAATGGCTTAAAGAAGCAATTTGAAGGTGACAGTTGGTTTTATGAAAAAGCGTTGTTCCAAGCAGCTGGGTAACCTTACATATGTTAACCCAAATATGAATGCACACAGCAACTACTTCTTAAAACCCTCTTTACTCTGGTAACTCAAATAAAGCAAAAAATGTCCTGGTCTAAATTTAATAGAAACTTGAAAGGTTTTTGTTTCTCGGCGGGTTCCGAACCTAGAGATCGTTGGACATTAGCTGAGTTGGTCTATTAAAGGTGTAATCATTCAAAAAACGATGATTAAAAGGATGTAAAATCTACTTGGAATTTATGTCGTAATGTCAGTTACTTGATTACAAAGAGAGCTGACTTTGGCTTTACACTGACCGATCAATAATTTTAAAATCATCACAATAATAAATATTTGTGGTAAACGGTGCATGCATCTGAAAAATATAACAGTTGAATTAAAACCAATCGATCGCAACGATACAGTCAAAGAAAAAAGGAAAGGAATTCCCCAAGATGTAAGAACCATTTGAATGACTCGGCGGCGCTTCATAAAAGTCAAGTATTTCAAAGGTTTCACGACGGCGACATAGCGTTCTAATACTAAAATAAACAAGTTTGTTCCAGAAGCGTAAATGAAGAATACCCACAGACTTATAAGTAATATTAATTTTCTGTCGGAGATGCACATATTTTCCATTTTGCACAGATATGGT